ACAAACTCCAGGTCCCGTCCGAAAGAGGAGTGCCACGCTCGAGCATGTGCCCAGCAAAGCTCTTGGGGTCAATGTTCCTTGTTTGCTGGACTCTTGCGGTGTCCTACGTGGCTCTTGGGTCCACTCAAAATGCAGCAAGCCTGAAAGCAGCAGCCCTGGACATAGATGGCCAGCCCCATGTGAGCAAGACCTTGCAAGGACATGGAATGCCAAGAAAAAATGTCGGACAAGGGCAGAAGCCCCCAGCAGGCGCACTGCCAGGAGTCTGCCTCACCCTCGCCACGCACTATGTAGGAGCCAGTGCCTGTGCCTCAGGATGTCATGTGCATGCAGCACACAAGTCCTACTTAATTTTCCTCTTGCAGCGTGGGGGCTACCAGGGATGATGCCCAGCTGTCCGGCTTTGGCACTTGTCCTCGTAAACAGCGTGTGAGTCACTGGGACGCCCGCTGAGCAAGAGACACTCTGAGCTCTCAACGCGCCCTTCCGAGTGATCCACAACTTTTCCTCCACCCACCTTGACTTGCACAGAAACATCTTGCGACCATGCCACGTGGGAAGGCCTCTTGGTGGCAGGATCCAGGTACCTGCTGCATCACCCCCAAGCTGCTCAGAGCCCATACGCTTGCAGCACGCCTGCAGCTTTCGCACTCGTAATAGTTGTGGTGGATGTTGACCTGTGTGAAGCAATCTTGCGAATCTCTGAGCTGATGTGTCAGAAGCCCTGCCATCTGGTCCCACAGGGCATCACGGCGCGTCTCCTTGACCACCTTCCAGCATCACTCGCTCAAAGCATATGCACAAATGAGACCAGAGCCTCAGCGAAGGATTCCACCGTGAAGCGCCTGCGGCTGAAAAAAAAACAGAGCCAGCACCCTCCGTCCTTGCCTTACTTTTGACAGCTCACGTTGGAATTAATTGGGTTAAGCATGTTATACTTGGTATGCTCCTGGGCACAAAAGCTGCTATCAAGGATTTCACGGCAGAGGTGTTGCAACCTGGCAGAACCTTTGCAATCTACCCCACAAATCCCAGTTGCAGCCTGTGTTCCCAGGCATGAGCCTGTCAAAAGGTCATGTCAGTCAGGTACTGCTGACCTCACAACCGGCCATTGGCATTTTCACATCAACACCTAGAGCTTCAAGGCCCGGACCTTCTGGAGACTCAATCCTGCTTTTGGGAATAAACTCATGGGCCAATGTGTGCCTCCTCCTTTTACAGAAGTGACAACGACTCAAAACATTGGGGCCTCAAGCCAGCGCTTCAGGACGGCCATTACACCTTGAGATGGGTCTTGACTGGTTTCCGGAAGAGTTCCCCGTTCTTACATTCAAAATTTGGTCAGCTCTGACGAGCTCCAAGATATACAATCACCAGTGCCCATATCGCAGTTTAGTATAGTTTCAAAAGCATTTCGGAGGTACTTGTCGCTGCCAGAAGGTGTTGCGCTGAGGGTTCAGCGTTCTAACCCTCGCCCGAGCAACAGGAGCCACAGGGTTGTGTGGCGCGTCAAGTGCCACCGTGGGAAGTTCTGCCATGGTCGAATTAGTGGTCTAAATCCTAAGAATTGATTTTTACTTATGCACCTCAACTAGAGTAACATCCAGGCAACTGCTGAAATCAATCTGCAGGACCTCTCGTGGCAACGCTGCAACTTAAGAGCACTCATCCTCAGCATGCTGCGGATATTGGCACTCTTCCAAGCAATTCATGCCCCTGCAACACATGGTCCAAGCATCAGCTTGGCGTCTGGACATCTCACCGAGACTGGGGGCACTGCCGGAGCGAGGAATCCGAGGCCCAGGCGCAGGAACCTCAGCAGAGCAAAGGGTGTTAGAAGTTGCGCGCATCAACGGAAGCGAGGCGCGCAACTGGTAAGCCCAGGTCTCAACCCCGGCTGCTGATTCGAGGCCTGGCAGAGCTACTGCTAGCTCCGGGAAACTGCAAATTAGTGCTTGCACTCAACATCAGTCCCCAA